AAAAAACCCACATCTTCTTTATCCAGTTTCCAGTTGATGGGCACTTGGGCTGTTTCCAAGCTTTAGCTATTACAAACTGTGCTGCAATAAACACGGGTGCACATATATCACTGTGGTATGATTCTTTTAATTCTTTGGGGAAGATACCTAGCTGGGGAATAGCTGGGTCAAATGGGACCTCCAGCCCTCGTTCTTTGAGTTTTCTCCACACTGATTTCCACAGTGGTTACACCAGTCTACACTCCCACCACCAATGGAGAAGGGTTCCTTTCTCCCCACACCCCCGCCAGCATTTGTTATTGGTTGATTTTTTAATAGCAGCCACTCTTTCTGGGGTGAGGTGGAATCTCAGTGTTGTTTTCATCTGCATTTCTCGAATGACCAGTGATGTTGAGCATTTTTTCATATGTTTATTTGCTGCTTTTACTTCTTTGTCTGAGAAATGTCTGTTCATTTCAGATGGCCATTTTTGAATTGGGTCTTTGAATTTGGGAGGTCTGATTTTTTTCAGTTCTTTATAGATTTGAAATAGTAGCCCTTTGCCCAGTGACATCCAACTTAATCCCTTATGTGTTTCTATAACAAAAAGCGGCAGCCTATGTGATATATGGACAAGGAATATTTCTTCAGCTCACAATTCTGGAGAGAGACTGGACTACCCAAGAGCATGGCCCAGCATTATGTGAGGGCCTTGTGCTGTACAACAACATGGCGGAAGACCTCACATGGTGAGAGAGAGCAAGCCAATGAGCTCATTTCTCTCTTCCTCTTCTTGTAGAGCCATAATGTCATCATGGAACTCCATCCTCATGAATTCTTCTAATTCTCAGTATCTCCCAAAGTCCCCATCTCCAAACTTATGTATTTGGGGACTAAATTCCCAACACATGAACTTTGCAGAAACCCATTCAAACAATAGCAATGGCCTAGTTGTTCACTGATTTTTCTCTCACAATATCCCTAAGAAATAAACAAAAACCTTTCTCTTGTGTTGGTCCTTAAGCGACTACCAAATTGCATATGAAATAAAACACCTTTGGCTAAGCATTCCTAAGAGAAAGGAATCTTCCCTATATATTAGGTAGCTAATTGTTTGGCTTGAAATAGGGGGAGTGCCACTCCTTGTGAAGTAGGAATGCCAGTGGCATGGGTAGAGAGTCCAGCAAGCCCTGCGTGCTCTCCTTAAATAGGCATTCACTGGATTTCTGAAGCTGAAGGATCCAATGCGCTCTCCAGGGCCTTGGAATGCATAAGAGATAAGGGGCGGGAAGAGTGAGAACTGCTATATTTCATACTGAAAACACACATTGGCGCACCCTGGGGTAGCCAACTTTAATTCTGTGAAAATCCTGTGTCCAAAGTTTGGAACGAAAGTCTACAGACATTTATCACTAAACTATACAGAGAGGACTGACTCTGTATGAAGTACATCCTTATCCTCAGATTGCTGTGACGAGTGCTAATGGTCTTTGTCTTACGATAGGCAATGTGTTTGGGCTTTGTCCTTAGCTTCTGTCACAGAGCTTCTGGAAGGCCTGAGCTTTCCTTAACGGTGGGAGCATCTTTTGTTACATTCATCACCCCTTCTCTGAAGGGAGACATTCCAAGTTTCTCCGTAGATGCCTCAAACAGCAGATAGTACCAACACTTATCAATACCATGCTTTTTTCTTTATGCTTTGCAGCATGGCCACATAGTACCAACATTAACCTGCCCTTCCATGTCTCATGCCAGGGTGCCTACTTTGCCTCATTACTCTTGTGCTTTGGCGCCATTATTAAATAAAATGAAGGCTGTAAGCACTGTGATTCCTCAAGTGTTTATCTGATAACCAAGATTGCTGGAAGTGACTGGGGGGCCAGTCAGGCAGATGGTGGACAAAGGGATGATTCACATCCCAGGTGGGACCAGCAGGACAGCATGAGATTTCATCACACAACTCAAGGCGGCATGCATTTAGAATTTATGAATTTATTCTGAAGTTTATTTCTGTAACATTTCTGTGTATGAATTGTTCCCTTTATAGTTTTCTCATTTAATACGTTCACACCATGGTTGACCATAGGTAACTGAAAATACAGAGAGAAAATCCTCAGATGGAACAGTTACTATGTTTGGAAGGAGCTCTGAATCTAAGCTGATGTGCTGACTTAGGGTAGGGTTCTTAGAGGACCTCAGGATGGGGCCCCAGAAACACCGAGTGACCAGGGTCAGAGTTGGGACTTTCAGCCCCACCCACGACCTCTGGGAAGGAATTGGGGGCTGGAGATGAAGCGCTGAATAACAGGACTTGATAGGCTTCCAGGTGAGAGGGGACATGTGAGAGGGGACCGTGTGTAATGCAGAAGGGCCCGGAGCCCCACACGCCCGTGTTTGGCCCCACCGAGCTCTTCTGGCTGCTTAAGCCTATCCTTTGTAATATTCTTTATAATAAACCAGTAAATGTAAGTTGTTTCCTGAATTTTATGAGCTGTCCTGGCAAATTAAAGGAGCCTAAGGAGGGGGCGGTTGGAGCCCCCTGATTTACAAATGGTCACTCAGAAGTATAGATGACAACTCACTTCTTGCAACTGCCGACTGCAATTTGGTCTGTCCTACGAGACTGAGCCCTTGGCCTATTTCTATGTAGATAGAATCCAAATTGAATCGAGTCATAGAAGACTCAGCTGGTGTCCCCAGAAGATGTGCTTGGTGCCTGGAGAAAACCTGACACATATGGTTACAGAAGTGTTCCATGTTCAGTTTCAGTGTAAAGAAAGGTCATTTTCCCCTTACAGTTGTGAATAAAACAATTAAGAGATTTGTGTGACGAGGGATCTGAGATGGACAGAGGCCTGCAGGCAGCCCTCGATACACCACGTGCAGATTTGATCGCTAAGCCCCAGATGAGGGCAGTGACTAAAGGGCGCTGTGGCTGGTGACTGTCCCTTTCTAGGTAGATGTGGCACTGGTGGTGGGATGGAAGAAAGTGTGATGACCTCCAGGGGTGCACAGGAGCATGCTGGTGCTTGCTGACGTAATATACACACATGGATCTCAGGACCCCAGTTAAATGGCCTGTTCCAGTCACACAAATGGGTTCTCTACCTCTTGTCACAGAGTCATAACCCTCTTCAATGTACCTTTCTTTATTCCTTTAGCTTCTACCTCCTCTTGATCCTTAGCTTCTCCCCAGGAATCTGGTGAGAGTATAGGAGCTTCATGTTTCCAGTTCTGGCCTGCGGAGCTGTCTAGGTCCCACTTCCCCATGACATGGGACTCTGGTTTTGGGCAGAAGCACAGGGTCAGGGTCTCTACAATAGAGAACTCCGATGTCCTTCAATCAAGGGAAATCTCTGCAGAGAAATTTACACCAGCAGATGGATGGCATTGCTGGGTCCCCACAAACACAAAGGCTGTTTCCTCCGTGGGAGTTTTGTTCTAGCCAGGTAGGTGGCTGCGGTACCAGGTGTCTCTGTGACAAATAGCACAGAGGCTTAAAATGGTAGATGGCCTAAGAGGGGAGGGGTCCCAGACAGGAGCCCCAAGGGATCTCTAAGAGAAGTTGGCCGATGAAGAGAAGTAGCATTTTGTCTCTTTGGGGCAGGGGATGAGGGGGAGGAGAGGTGTGAGGTTAGCAGAGGAGCCTGTGGAAGCCTTTGATTTCCTCAGAAAATGAGGCACAAGAGCTGCTGAGTGGCAGTCAAGGCAGTTTGTCCTTTGGGGTTCTTTGAAAACCTGCATGTTACAGAGAAATAACTCTGTAATAGTACCCTGAAGAGAACTCATGGAAGTGGAAGAGAGAGGGCCTG